TCTTCCTCACATCCAGTGGTGACCTCTCGAATCTCACCTTAGGGGTTGACAGCCCGTATTCAGAAATAAAAATTTTGCTTTAACTTATTGCTTGTTTTAATCAATTTTGCCATGATGATTTGAGTCAGTGGTCTTTTTCCTCCTATCGCTGGGCTTACCGTTGTCTGGGGTCTGACCTCTGTCTTTCAAGACTGGCTGATTTTAAAGGCATCTGCTGCAAAGGAAATGAAGGAAAGGAGAAAGGAGTCACTGCTCCAGACATCAGTTTCTGGAGGCATGAAGCCTGCTAGGAAAGCAAGGCTTTACAGGGGTGGGAGGGCGGGTGGAGGTGTGGGGGATTTAAGATTATTGCATAAATGTTTTATAAGGTGGGGGAGATGAAATAACTTGGATTTCTTGTTTTAAACACAGATTTATAGTAGCTGATAGAAAAAAACTCATCTCTAATATTTTGTACAGATGGAAGGCAGGGTTTCTATGTGGCTTTGGAGCCTGTCTTGGAACTAGCTCTGTAGACCAGGCTGGTCTCGAACTCACAGAGATCCGCCTGCCTCTGCCTTCCGAGTGCTGAGATTAAAAGCGTGTGCCACCATTGCCGGCTCATACAACCCTTTTTAACAGTTTCAGCTGTGTTTTTATTTGCTCACTTAACATCATAAATAAATGACTTCAAATTTCACACAGTTGCTTTTCCTTCAAATTCAAATGCTTTATGCTTTTTTTGAAGTTGCCATTTGGCACTTTCCCCCAGGGATTGCTACTGCATTTTCTAAATATACTGGTGGGGACCACAGTTAAACAGGCTACTACAAAGGAGGGCAATCTCTGGTACCCCCTTAAGATGCTGATAGTATTCTTAGTTGTGGGTTTGTTATAGGATAGTGGTCGACAAAGAATACATCCCTCAGGTTTTACCCAATGGTCCAAAAGGGGTGTTAGGTTAAATACAGAGGTGGGGAATGAATGGTTTAAGGATACTAAAGACAGCCCAAGATAATTTGGATCAGGTTCTGAAACATTGTAATGCTACTCCATCATAGAATTCTACAGGCGTAGCCTTTTTTTGTTTTGTTTTGTTTTCAAATGCAGAGTTTTACAGACGCATGTGCTGGGTCTTCTTGTTTTCTCAAGAAAATATTTCATCCTAGAAACTTGTCTCTGAGTTTCTTTTTCCACATGTAACTTTCTTCCTTTCTTTTGAGACAGAGTCTCACTTTGTAGCCTGGCCTCTGCCTCTTGAGTGCTGAGACTAAAGGTGTATGCCACCATGCCTAGCTATAACTTTATTTTCTTGAAACCTAGACATTGCCAGTTTGAGAAGAAATTCACTGTGTCCACAGTGCTCTTGCCTTTAAATTCTGAAGTAAGTAGTACATTGATGAGATTGCTTAAATTTCTTTTCCCAATTTACAATCTTAATTCTCCCTAAGTGTAATTTTTTTGTCATTGTAAAAAAGATTATATGGTGGTTTTTGAGTTTTGTTTTAATTCTTAGTTAAAATAATTTTTAAAATTCTGGGAGAAACATGAACTGAGAATGACATCAAATGCCTACAGTTGAGGTGGCCCTTGCTTTTCAGCTCCAAGAAAAGAAAGAGAGAAAGAAATGGACTAGTAGAATAAAGGGACTATGGTGCTGCCTTCTTTTGAGATAACCGGTGATTTTGTTTGTTTGCTTGCTTATTTGTTCTTGTTTTTAAAGACAGGGTCTCCTGTAGCTCAGTCTGGCATCAATCTGGTGATGTAGCCAAGAGGTACCTTCTGTGTTCTGTTTCTGCCAATTAGAGAATTAAAAGACACAAGCAGCTGAAGAGGAAATCTGGGATACAGTACACAAAATGAGCTGGTAAGACAGGCTTTCCTTAGGGCGAGGAAGCACACAGGGCACCTAGAGAAAGACCCTCTGCAAACTCAGGGGGCACTCAAGAGTCCCAAATCCAGTCTTTCTTTGAAGACTGGATGGTTCTTTGTTTGAGACAGGATCTCACTATATAGCCCAGGCTGGCCTGGAACTCACTATATAAATCATGCTGGCCTCCAAACTCACAGAGACCTGCCTGTCTCTGGATTCTGGAATTAAAGGTTTGGACCACTATGGCCATATCAGCAATTTAGGCGTAAGACTTTAAGGTTCTTTAAGAGGGCCTTTAATCCCAGCACTTAGGAGGCAGAGGCAGGTGAGTTCAAGGTCAGCCTGATCTACAAGAGCTAGTTTCAGGACAGGCTCTAAAACTACAGTGAAACCCTGTCTCGAAAAACCACAAAGAGAGAGAGAGAAGGAGAGAGAGAGAGGGCGTGGGACGTCGGTCTTTGGGTCACAGCGTTTGTGGTGTTGATTACCTGGGAGCGAATTAAAAATGGGTGATGCTGAGAAAGGCAAGAAGAGTTTTGTTCAGAAGTGTGCCCAGTGCCACACTGTGGAAGAGGGAGGCAAGCATAAGACTGGACCAAATCTCCACGGTCTGTTTGGGAGGAAGACGGGTCAGGCGGTTGGATTCTCATACACAGATGCCTACAAGAACAAAGCCATCACCTGGGGAGAGGATGCCCTGATGGAGTGTTTGGAGAATCCCAAAAAGTACATCCCTGGAAGAAAAATGATCTTCGCTGGAATTAAGAAGGGAGAAAGGGCGGACCTAATAGCTTATCTTAAAAAGGCTGCTAATGAGTAACTCCACCGCCTTATTTATTACAAAACAAATGTCTCATGACTTTTAATGTGTACCATAATTTACTTCCTACCCCCAAATTCAGATCATGAACGGCTAACAGTGTTTTGTTGGACAGCCCTGATTAAGGAAAACTGACTTGTATAAAAGTGGATGTGATCTTTTTTAAAGTAACTATTCCAGTTGCATAAACACTCACTGCTTTCCCTTTCTCCAGATAAGATTGGACTTAATTATTAAAGTTCTACTTTCCACAAAGATGGGGGTGTCACCTCAAACCTATTGAATGGTCTTATAATTAAATTTATATAATTGGACACATGAATATGTTTAAACGCTGGGGAAATTCTGTCACCATCTCAGAAACGAGAAGACTCGCCTGTGGTAAAGTTTGTACTCCCTACTGTTACAGGCAACGGCTAAAGGTCAGGGGGCAACTGTCTATTCTTGACTCGATGGTGTTATTTTAATTAGAATTCTCTAAGTCAAAGGATGCTGCCTTTTACCATTGAAAGGCACTTACTGTGGTCTATGTAGAATATATCAAATAAAGAGTATTTAGCACATGCTATAGTTGATCTATTAAGTTTTAAAAATGCTTTTAGAAGCCAGCAGCTTAGACCTTACTTTTAGTAATTTATTATCTAAGATTAAATTGTAATTCAGAATTGTCCTTAAACATCCTTTCAGAAGCAAAACAGAACTGGAACTTCTATACATGTGTGATTGCTGGTGGCATTCTTTGCCAACTTTTTTTTTTTTTTTTTTTTTTTTTTTTTTTTTTTTTTTTTGGTTTTTCGAGACAGGGTTTCTCTGTAGCTTTGGTGCCTGTCCTGGAACTAGCTCTTGTAGACCAGGCTGGCCTCAAACTCCCAGAGATCCGCCTGACTCTGCCTCCCAAAAGGCGTGCGCCACCACTGCCCGGCTCTTTGCCAACTTTTTATAGAAGGATTAAAATAAAGGAGATGTTTGCAGCAGGTAATTTTAAAAAAAAGAGGTGTCCCTCCCCTAGTTTATGCTTTGTCAGTTTGAATAATAATAGGGAGTCTGACAGGCCCACAATAAGACTACAACTTTTGGGCAAACAAGTCCTTATCTGGCTTTGAATTTGTGATGAGGCCACTCTACAGACTAGGGCTCCTACTATCAGAGAAAAAGCCTCCACAGCCTGTATTTTAAATTGCTAGAGTTTTGTTTTAGTTGAGGAGAGTGAAGAAGAAACCAGAAGTTTGCCATCTTTTTTGTTTGTTTTTGTTTTGCTTGTTTGTTGGTTGGTTTTTGGGTGTTTTTTTTTTTTTGAGACTGTTTCTCTGTGTAGTCTTGACTGTCTGAAACTCACAGAGATCTACCTGCCTCTGGATTATTGGGATTAAAGGCGTGAGCCATCACTGCCCTGCTGAAATTTGCAACCTTTAATATTTATTCGTAGGTTCTCTTCCTACCTGTCAGAGGCTCCTAGTCCCATGGAAGGATGACCATGAACTTCCTGATCTACTCACCTCCACCTCAAAGTGCTAGGATTTCAGGTCCACGGCATCACAACTCATAAAACTGAAAAAGAACCCACACCCTCATACAAGTTTAGGTAAGCTATTCTCTACCCTACGGCAGAAATGTATTTTCAGCAACTCTCCGTACTCTTTCAACTATCCAGCATACCTCATCCAGTTAATTTAAAGCAATAGTAAATTAATTAATTAATTTAAAAAATGGAGAGAGTCTCGATGTGTAGCTGTGACTGATCTGGATTTCACTATGTAGACCAGATTGTCTTCAAACATATGCAGATCTTTCTGTCATTGCCTCCTGAGCTGCTGGTTTTAAAGGCGTTTGCCACCGCACCTGGTTAAAATTTTATTTTTTATTTTTAAAATCTTATGTATATAGGTGTTTTGTTGCATGTATATGCACCACCTGTATGCAGTGCCTGGGGGGCCAGAAGAGGGCGTTGGGTTTACTGGGACGGAAGTTACAACAGATTATGAGCTGCCATGGGGGTGTGAGAACTGAACTAGGTCCTTTAGAAGAGCAGCCAGTGTACTTAACTGCTGAGCCATCTCTCCAGCACACCCACCCTCCCCCCCCTTTTTAAAACAAGGTTTGTCTATGTAACCCAGGGTGGCTTTGAATTGATGCAATCCTCCTGCCTCAGCCTCCCGAGTGCTTATTTCGCATGCTAGGGCCACCCCAACAGCTTAAGCTGATTCTTTCTTTGCGTCCCCAGACACCTGTCTATCAACACCAGCCTCTGCCACCTGCTAGAGTCTCCCTGCCGGTGGAGCACGCGGCCGGTCTCCTAGCAACCGGACCGCGTCCCTCCCAGCTCTCAGCTCAGAACCTGGGCTGCCAGCGCCCAGCATGCCCTGCGGCTCGGCGCGCACTACGCGTCCCACAATGCCTCACGGCCCCGCCCCACTCCCGCGGAGACCCCGCTGGGCGGCAGCGCGACCCCTGCCCGCTGCCTGCAGCCTGGCGGGCTGCACAGGCCGGGCGCCATGCGGAGGGGCGAGCGCAGAGTCGCCAGAGGCTCGGGGTCTGGGTCTCCGCTGTTTGAGGGTCGCCGCAGCACCGAGTCCGAGGTCTACGACGATGGCACCAACACCTTCTTTTGGTGAGGGACTCCCCGCGTCGTGTCCGGGCTTGGGACTGGCGGTTTGGGTTGGAGTCGGGGACCGTCAAGGCCGGGATTAGTCGGGGGAGCTGCGCACTGGGGCTCCCAGTGCGCAGACGGGTGGAACCCTCCTTCCCCGCGTGGTCATCTGCGTGTGAGATGGCGAGTGCTTTTCGGGTCGGGGGAACCCCGGGATGAGCTCTGGAAGGCCTCGCCACCACACATAAGTAATGTTCCCTCTCTTTTCTTCCCCTGCCTCTCCTCGGTGGGTGCCTTGAACTGGCCTGATGGGTCTGGCATGTCTGTGTGCTAGGTTTTGCTCATCGCTACCCTTTTCGATGATCTGGCCTGCACAATTCAGCCCCTAACAAGTTTTGGGATCGGGCCGCCTCCTCTGCTTTTAGTGGAGTGAGTGCTGAGGAATTGCTGGTGCTTTGGCTCCTTTGAAGGGCCATGCCACCGCCCTGGCTGACCAGTCGAACGTGTGATCCCATGACCTTGGGCTAACCCTTCACCTTTCCTTATTTGTGAGAAATGACAAAACTCAAAACTCATGCACCAGAGCCCACCTTATGAGAGAAATGGTTTTGCCGTGTGTGTGTGTGTGTGTGTGTGTGTGTGTGTGTGTGTGTGTGTGTTCGGGACAGGTTTTCTTTGTATAACAGTTCTGGCTGTTCAGGAACTTATTCTGTAGACCAGGCTGGCCTGGACCTCACAGAGATCCACCTGCCTCTGTCTTCCGAGTGTTGTGATTAAAGGCCTGCGCCATGGCCACCGGGAAGCTTTACCCTTCTTTACTTATAATGACTGAGTTTCCATATGCAATACTGGAGTCCCTGGGTGGTTCCTGTAGACGAGTGAGAGCCGAGTGCACAGAAACAGATGCATACCTACTGGTGATGCTAAGTGCAAGTAGCTTTGAGAACACATTTAATCAGCGCGAGAGGAGCATGTTCTGAAAGTGATTGGCTCATTCGGGAGAAGGTGCCATCACACAGATAGGGTTCTCTGAGGGATGCTGTCCTATGCCGGCTTGTATCTCTGGCTCACAGTGGGAGTGGTACCTGAGGCTCTGGTGAGATACAGCTGAAGTGGCAGGCAAGTGGGTGGCTGTAGGAGATAGTTTTGCATCTGGAACTGATATGATTAGCGCCTTCCCCGGTTTGTGGACAGCTTCTGCAAGGGGGTCCCACCAAGGCTTCTCTTCAGTGTGATGCCCTCTGGTGACTGTGGAAGCATTAGAAGGGAGAGAAGCGATTCCAGCACTCAGGAGACAGAGGCAGGCGAATCTCTGTGAGTTTGAGGCCTGCTTGGACTACATAGTGTGTTCCAGGACAACCACAGCTACATAGTGAAACCCTGGGAGGAGAAGAGAAAGCATGGGGCAGTTGAAGTTGTGGGTTTGGGGCCAGAGCTAGTGCCAAATGGATTTCTCTGACCTTTGAGGTCCTTTGAACATTGAAATGACCTAGAAGATTTCAGGCTGTCTTAATCCCATACCTCCTCCTGCTCGACAGGACACATGGTCTTTAACACCATAACTGACCCCACACCATCTTCATATCCTGCCTGATAGGACATTGGGTTCCTTTTTCCTTGCAGGGAAATGATGCTTGTAAAAATCCCTGGTTTTTGTTTTTATAAACTCTGTCTTGTCTTCAGGTCCAAGAATTCTTTGTGGCAGGAGTTTACTTTTGGTCCCCTGCTTAAATAAAGGACTCTAATTGGCCTTATATTCATGATGGACTATAAATTACTCAAGTGGATATTTCAACATCATTCTCTATCAGGTAGCTCCCACCATGACTGTTGGGCAGGAGGGAGGCACCACCCTCCCCTAATGCAGTCGATGGTCACTAATAGAAAATCCTGGAGCGGGTAGCTGACTTGCCTTTCTTGCTTTATATTCATTTATTCATTCAGTCATTCTTCAGTGTGTATTTTGGAGATCTCCACTGAGTGCCATTGCTATCTTAGGGGATTTATCCGGAAATTAAACAAGAGCTCGGACTCTAGCACAGTCCTAGGACTTTGTTTATTTAAAATTTTATTTTATTTTCCATGTGTTGATGTTCTGCCTGCATGTGTGTATGTGTACCATATATGTGCAGTGCCCCTGGAAGCCAGAGAGGGTATTGGGTCCCTTGAGACTAATAGTTCCAGACTGGTGGATGCTGTATGAGTGTTAGGGATCCAGTATGGGTCCTCTGGAAGAGCGGCTTGTATGTTTTATTTTGTTTGGTTTGTTTAGTTTTTTTTTAATAAATCTTTATTTATTTTATATGCATTGGTGATTTGCCATGGGTGTTGAGTCCCCTGGAACTGGAATTACAGACAATTGTGAGCTGCCATGTGGTTGCTGAGAATTGAACTCAGGACCTCTGGAAGAGCAGTTAGTGCTCTTAACTGCTGAGCCATCTCTCCAGCCCCCTTGGTTTGGCTTTTTTGAGACAAGGTTTCTCTTGTGTTGCCTGGCTGTCCTGGAATTCGCTCTGTAGCTCTGTAGACCAGGCTGGCCTTGAACTCAGAGATCCACCTGCCTCTGCCTCCCAGGTACTGGAATTAAAGGTGTGAGTCACTACCTCGCAGCAAAGTCGTGTTCTTACCCTCAGAGCCATCTTTTCAGCCCCCCAGTGACACTTTCTAACCTACTCCCACCAGCCTGGAATCCATAACAATTTGAGCATTGGTGGTCTATGCTTGAATCCTAGAGCCAGGAGCCTCTAGTGAGCCTTCTAGGTGAAGGAGGCGGACCTCACCAGTGCATCCACAGTAGTTCTTATTCCTGCAGCTGCAGGCGTGTGTAGGCTGCCACTCACTGTGGCTAGAGCTTGCCTAGGTTTACCCACATCTAGCAAACATGATTTGGCAATTCTTACCTTTTAACTATCAGATCAATAGGCCAGGAAGGCCAGTGTAACAAGCTAGGAGCCTCTTGCAGACCTGGGGCAGGCTCTGTCCCTTTCCTGGCAACACCTTCATGTTTCCCTGGTTGGTTCTGGCAGGGCTGCCTCTCTACCCACTCAGCGTGAGGAACATGGTCATCTCTTGGGAGGAACAACAACTGGGTATTTTCCACTCATAGCAAGGAACCAGTTTGTCCTCATGCTTGCCCCATGCAGTGACTGAAGTCCCAAGATTTACATAGGTCAGCTCTCATCCTGGGCCTGGTCATGGGACCTGGATTATCCCAGCCTCTGCCTACACTAGGGAGGAGTAGGAGGCACAAAGCTGACATTCTGGAAGGGGAAGGATAACCGCCTCTGGAATCGTGTGTGTGTTTATATGTCTGCGTGCGTGCATGTGTGTGTGTGTGTGTGCGCGCGTGCGCTAGGAGATAGACAGGGTGCATGCAGCAAGGTAGAGTTGCTCTTCTGCGGCCATTGATTGGGACATTCCTGAAGTCTGCCTGCTGTGAGTTTATCTGGTGATGCCCTGCCTCTGGGTCCCCCTTTCTGCTTCACTTTTCCCAGGTTAGGGAGGCGAGGTACTTGGTAACTGTGTAAATGAAAGGGTGAAAATTTACCTCAGAGGAAAGGTGTTATTTATTTTTCATATTCTTGGTATATTAAGAGAAATAAAAGATAGTACTCCCAGTCGGGGTATAGTAGCGTGCGCTTTCATTCCTGGCACTTGGCGGGCAGAAGCAGGAGTATCTCTGTGAATTTGAGGCCAGCCTTGTCTATGAATAGGGTTCCAGGACTACACAGAGAAATCCTGTCTTAAAAAAACAAAACAAAACAAAAGGTCAAGGACACCCTCAGCTTATTGGCTATTTCAAAACCTATTAGAAGATCAGTGTACTAGTAAAGTAACCGAGGAGCTGATGTCATTTTTAAGGTCTATGGAAAGAGCTGGGTAGAGTCTGTCATATGTCAGGCCATAGGCTCAGTCCTCAGTCCTGGAGGGAAATGGGGGAAAGCCTTCCATGTTTAACTTGTGTTAGTAATGTGACCATATCTACCTGTGCTATAGGCTGTACACTTCAATCCCTCTGGTACCCATGGTAACGGTCAGTCAGCTCGAGAGTGCAGGTCAGGCCCTCTCCTATGCTGGGTGAGTACTTACCCTGTCTCTGCTCTGACACTACCTGTGTGTTTTGAATTCAGGCGTGCCCACACCTTAACCGTGCTGTTCATCCTCACCTGTGCACTGGGTTATGTGACTCTCCTGGAAGAAACCCCTCAGGATACAGCCTACAACACCAAGAGGTAACTGCTGACGTGCAGAGGGTGTGTGTGCTGTGGTGCTCTGGCCAGCCCGGGCTCTAAATTCCCTTGTATGTCAGTGACTAGCTTTCACACCTTTCCTTGGAGCTGCGGAGTGTTTCTCGCCCAGACCCTGGGTACACGTCACCTTTCAAGAGATGGGGCTATTTTGCAGCGGCCTTCAGGGTGATCCCCCTAGCTGGTGTGAGTCTATGGTGGTGTTGGTGCCAGTACTTTCTAAATATTTAAACGAACTATGTAAGAGGCCAGGTGGACATCCGATGACTACCTGTGACCTTGCTTCTCAAGATTCTCCAGAGCAGGCAGGCCACAAGCACTCTCTGTCCTTGCTGTATTGCCAGGTCTGAGGCCAGTCCCTAGCATGCAGGGACGGTTGCTCCGGAGTACTGACAGCCTTTTATACTGCCCCTCCAATCCTCTAGCCTGGGTATCTACCCTGGAATGCTGTTACTGAGCGGGTCCTGCTTGCTTTGGGAGGGCTGGAGGAGACCAGAGAGAATTTGGTAGGGGCAGAGGCACAGGGGGATGTGAGAGGTCTATTGAGATTTCAGCGCCACCTTGGTTGCTTGTGGAACCTCCATGGTCCTAACATTTCCAGGCCAAAATTTTGTTTTTTAAAAATGGAAGTCTTAAAAGGCTATAGAGATGGCTCAGTGGTTAAAAACATTGGCTGTTTTTCCAGAGGACCCAGGTTCTATTCCCAGCATCCACGTGGCAGCTCACAACTGTCTCTAACTCCAATTCTGGAGGATCTGACAGCCTCTCACAGACATACATGCAGTCTAAACAACAATCAAGGCTCATAAAATAAATAAATCATTTTTTTTAAAAAAAAAAAAGAAAAATGGAAGTCTTAGTACTTTGCGATAAGAATTGAATAGGGTCACAGTGAGTATGGTGTGACCATGTGGATGTACTCCTCCCCAGTCTCTGCGGGCCTTGTGAGAGTGTCATCACACCAAACAGTTTACCCTCAATGTGGTAGACTCTAGGACATAAGGATACCCAGCCTGTCTGGGATGTAGAGCCACCAACAGTGAACCTTGTAATGGAGCATATGCCCTTGGGTTCTTGTGGTGAAACATTGCCTTCAGACTGTTGGACTCACAGGCTCCCGTCTACCTTTCTTGGGCAATACAGGCACCTCTCTCTAGCTGGTGGCCCAGCCGTTCTTGGCCCATTTTCTGTGAGTTACTTTACTGTTCAGTAACTTCTACTCAGAGTCAGCCTCTTCGGAGTTTCCTCATTTTTTTCCCCTGAGCTTGGGATGACTTGATTCCAGGCCCACCAGCCCTTCTCTTGTCCATCGTGTCTGGCTGGGTTATCTATACTGTCACTTCCTGCTCACTGTCATCTACAGGCTTGCCTGTTTCTCCCTCCTTTCTTAGAAGGCTTCCACTATACTCTTAAGTCCCAAGCTAAGCCTGTAAGCTCAGCATGCTCTTAAGATAGGGTCCTGGCAGAGGGGCCATCTGCAGATATTAGACCCGGGGTATAGAGGCATTGGACTTTTGGTTGTGCCTACATCTGCTCAGAGGGAATTTTCAAATAGAACTGGTCTTAGCTAGGTATGATTGCTCATACATGTAAACCTAGCACTTGGGAAACAGAGGCGGGAAGATCAGGAGATGAAGGCCAGTCTTGGCTACATGGTGAGTTCAAGACCAGCCTGGACTACATGAGACCTTGTCTCAAAAAACAACCAAAAAGGACATGATGGTACACACCTTTCTGCACTGGGAAACAGAGCAGGCAGGTCTCTATGAGTTTGAAGCTAGATTAGTGTCCATAGAGAGTTCCAGGACAGCTGTTGCTACATGGTGAGATCCTGTCTCAAAGGAAAAAAAAAAAAAGAAGAAGAAAAGAAAAGAACTGGGTCTGCTGAGTTTCTCTGAATTCACCTTTGTTGCCTGGGCATGGAGGCTAGTAAGAAGTCCAAAGAGACGGGACATGGCTATACCTCAGAAGGTGCTCTCCATGGCTGAATGTATGGCTTAGGGGCCCAGGGTTTAACCCTAAAGGCACAGCCTACTCCCCCAAAAGATTTCTATGTATGAGAAGTAGAATCAGCTAAAGATGCTCAGCTCTGATGTCACTGGAAAAGAATTGCCTCCAAGAAGAGCAAAGCCTTCTCTCCGAAGAGCAGGAACCTGCAAAGGTGTCACCAAGCATCTGCCAGAGCAGTTACAGAGCTGTTGGCCACCCAGTGTATTGGTCTTGTTGTCAATAGTAGGTGACCCAGACCTGGAGGGTCCAAGAGCTCAGACTCCCGTGCTTAAGGAGGGTGGCACTGTGGACCTGTGTGGGTGAGGCCACTCTTCTCAGCACTTACCTCAGGAGAGCTGCCTCACTGCTCCTCAGGGGACACAGGACACCCACTCCTCATGGTCTTTGTCTCCTCTTTCCTCTTTAAGGGCACGAAGGAACTGACCTTTCTGGTCTGTAACTCTTCTGATAGAACCTAGAACCTGAATAGGTGGGAGCTTTCTTATGTCCTTAGGATAGGTTTTGTGTGTCAAAAATATTTTTTCATTATGTGTATTTGTTTGCATGTTTATTTGTGTTCAAGCATGTACAGTACACACATGCACAAGTGTCAGAGGACAACCCTTGGGAGTTAATTTTCTCTTTCTACCATGCAGATCCCAGAGATGGAACTCAAATTGTCAGGCTTAGTGACAAGCGTGTTACCTGCTGAGCCATTTCACCAGCCTTACAGAAAATAGTGTATAATTTTTGTGGTGTTGTGGATGGAACTCAGACACTCACATGTGCCAGGCAAGCATTCTTGCTTGCACAGAGACACATCCCCAAGACTTACTTACAAATAAAAAATTATTTTTATATATGTGAATGTATGTTTTAGACTAGGTGAGTGTCCTCAGAGGCCAGAAGAGGGTGTCAAATCCCCTGGAGCTACAGACAGTTGTGAGTTGCCTATGGGTGCTGGAATCTGAATCTGGGTCCTCTGTAAGAGCAACAAATGCTCTTAACCACTAAGCTGTCTCTCCAGTTCCCCAAGATTTATTTATTTGTTCATTTTTTATAATTAATTTATTTCTATTTTATATGCATTGATATTTTGCCTTCATTTTTTCTTCACCACTATACAAACAAGGATTTTGCCTTCATACATGTTTGTGGGAGGGTGTTGGATTCCCTGGAACTAGAGTCACAGACAGTTGTGAACTGACATGTGGGGGCTGGGAATCACACCCAGGTATTCTGGAAGAGCAGTCAGTGCTCTTAACCACGGAGTCATCCCTCCAGACCCCCTGCCCCAAATTTACTTTTAACATTTTTTTTTCTTGTTTTTCAAGACAAGGTTTTTTTTTTGTTTTTTCAAATATTTTATTTATTTATTATGTATACTATATTCTGTCTGTATGTCTGCAGACCAGAAGAGAGCACCAGACCTCATTACAGATGGTTGTGAGCCACCATGTGGTTACTGGGAATTGAACTCAGGACCTTTGGAAGAGCAGGCAATGCTCTTAACCTTTGAGCCATCTCTCTAGCCCAAGACAAGGGTTTTTTTTTGTTTTGTTTTTGTGTAACCCTGGCTGTCCTGGAACTTGCTCAGTAGACCAGACTGGCCTCGGACTCAGAAATCTGCCTGCCTCTGCCTCTGAGTGTTGCAATGCACCCGGCTATTTTTAAATTTTTTCTAAAGATTTAAATTTTTTTATGTGTATATATGTGTGCCTGTGTGAGTTATATGTATATAAGTGCCCAAAAATACTAGAGGCATTGAATCCTTTGGAACAGGAGTTACAGGCAGTTGTGAGCCTTTTAATGTGGGTGCTGGAAACTGAGCCCAGACCCTCTACAAGAGCAACAGGGTTTCTCTGTGTATTTCTAGCTGTCCTGGGAATTTGCTTTGTAGACCAGGCTGGCCTCGAACTCACAGAGATTCACCTGCCTCTGCCCCTTTTGGAAAGTCTTTAATTTCAACTTGTGTATCATTGTTTTTGACATGTGGGAGGAAGGGTCACTGTATTGCCAGTATGGGATTTTTGGTTTTGGAGTTTTGTTTGTTGGTTGGTTGGTTGGTTGGTTGGTTGGTTGGTTGGTTTTTTTGAGGGGGGTGGTTGTGGGTCTCTGGCTATTCTGGAATTCACTATGTGGACCAGGCTGGTCTAGAACTCATAGAAATCTACTCACCTCTGTCTCCCAAGTATTGGGATTAAAGGTGTGATTTACCATGCCTGGCTGCCAGTTTATTCTTGAACTCCAGGGCTCAAGTAATCATTTTGCTTCAGCTTCCTGAAGAGCCAGGACTCCAGGCACAGGCCACTGTATGTATAGCTTTTTCTTCTCAAATCAACCTTATTGGCCTATAATTTAAGGCATTTCCGATAAAGGTACAGGTTGAGCTGCTCACACTTTTGAGCCTGCTGCTGGCCCAGAAGTGGAGTTACTATGTTGCTCTTCTGTGTCTTGCTTCTCTCCACAACAGTGGCTGCATGTCTTTGTGGACAGTCAGGACTGCTGTGCTGTGCCATGCAGATTTACCATCTGTGTGGTGATCTGGGGACACCTGAGGTTCTCTCGCCTCAGTTAGCCACGTGTCCATCCCATTTATAGTTTTAAAAATTGTACAACTATAAAGGCCAGGTATGATGGCACACACCTCTTATCTCAGAACTCAGGAGGTTGAAGCAGGAGAATCCTAAGTTCAAGACCAGTCTGGACTGCATAGCAAGATCTTGCCTCTTTTCTCAAACAAAACAAAAACCCACTCACATTTTTAAAAGGGCAGTCACAATTAAAATGTGTTGATACACATATGTACTCCCAGCTACTCTAGAGGCTGAAGTGTAGGAGATTGCTTGAACCCATGAATAGGAGCCCAGCCTGATAACTCTGTACTCAGGATTGAGGGCCAGAGTGACGGCTCAGCTGTTGAGAATGTGTACTGTTCTTGTGGGGAACCAAGGTCCGTTCTCAGCACCCATGTCTAGTGGCCCATCACGGTCTGTAACTCCGGCTCCAGCCGATCTAATACCTTCCAGGGACCTGCGCTTATGTGCACATTCTCACATACATAAATACACATACATATAATTAAAGTTATAAAAATAAAGCAGGGCTGGAGAGATGGCTCAGAGGTTAGGAGCATTGTCTGCTCTTCCAAAGGTCCTGAGTTCAATTCCCAGCAACCACATGGTGGCTCACAACCATCTGTAATGGGGTCTGGTGCCGTCTTCTGGCCTGCAGACATACATACAGACAGAATATTGTATACATAATAAATAAATAAATATTTAAAAAAAAATAAAATAAAATAAAAATAAAGCACTCAGAGGGCAGAGACAGGTGGATCTCTGTGAGTTCAAGACCAGCCTGGTCTACAGAGCAAGTTCCAGAACAGCCAGAGCTGTTACACTGAGAAATCCTATCTCAAAAAACTACCCAACCAAATAAATAAATAAATCTTGATGGAGAAAGGCTTGAGCAGATACTGTACCCAGGAGGAAACAGAGGAAGCAGCATCTGAAATGGGCAGCATTTGTTGTCACTGTGTCTCAGACGCCACCACACACCTCTAGGGAGATGGAAATGTAAAACCCGAAAGGATCTGAGGCAGCAGATAGGGATGCAGAGTCTGTCCACATTGGAAAGCAGCTTAGGGAACTAAGATCTTTCAATTTTGTGTGTTTGGGTATTTTGACTGTGCACCATTTGTGTGCTTGGTGCCAATGACAGATCTCCTGGAACTGAAGTTAAAGATGGTAATAGCTGTCTTATGGGTGCTAGAAATTAAACCCGAGTCCTGGGCAAACATTCAGTGGTTTGTTTTTGTTTTTTTCTCGAGACAGGGTTTCCCTTAGCTTTGGAGCCTGTCCTGGAAATAATAGCTCTGTAGACCAGGCTGGCCTTGAACTCAGAGATCATCCTGCCTCTGCCTCCTAAGTGCTAGGATCAAAGGTGTGTGCCACCACCGCCTGGCTTGTTGCTCAGTTTTGACTAAGGCTGTTGCTGTGAGATGACCTGAGAACACCGCAGGCTCTTCTGAGTGTCAGACACAGCAGGAACTTCTAGGCTGATCTTGGGCCTTTTCTGCCTCAGTCTTGGCCTTACAGTGACTCCATGGAGTCTGGGTGTCATACTGAAGAACACCAGAAGCCAAGGTCTGGGTGCTGGGTGTACTTGTAGCCACTAGGGTAAGGCTAGCTTTAGGCTCTGAGAACAGAGAATGGTGCACGCTTGCCTTCACCACCCTATATCCACACATACAATTACCCTGGTATCTGCGGAGTGTTGGTTTTCGGATCCTCCAAAGATGAAGTGTGTGCACTCAAATGCCTTACACACAGTGCCATCGGTGTACAGCCACAGATGTCTCTCCACTTACTAAAATATACTAGCTGATATGAAATGTGCCACACACAGAGCTGCTCTAGTGCATGATGGACAGTGACAAGGAAATCGTCTGTATGTGTTCAGCGTAGATGTGGTTTATTTTCAAGTGTGTTCTTTTTGGGGGTGGGAGGCAGGTCTTTCTTTGTGTAGCCTTGGCTGTCCTGAAACTAGCTCTGTAGACCAGGCTGACCCTTAAACTCAGAAACTCACAGAGATCCACCTGCCTTTACCTCCTAAGTGCTGGGATCAAAGGTGTGTGTCAAAACAAGGCATGTTTTCTTTAAAAGAAAAAAAAATGTGTTGGTGGTGCACACCTTTAATCCCTTCACTCAGGCAGAGGCAGACAGATCTCCAAGTTTAAAACCGGCCTGGTCTGCAGAGCAAATTCCAGGACAGTCAGAACTACACAAAGAAACCTTGTCTCAAATTAAAAACAATAACAACAACAAACAAAACAAAAACCCAGCCGGGCGATGGTGGTGCACACCTTTAATCCCAGCACTCGGGAGGCAGAGGCAGGCGGATCTCTTTGAGTTCGAGACCAGCCTGGTCTACAGAGCTAGTTCCAGGACAGGCTCCAAAGCCACAGAGAAACCCTATCTCGAAAAACCAAAAAAAAAAAAAAAAAGTGATGTTGGAGTATTACTCAAATCGCGAAATCTCATGTCCAGGAGTCCACAGTGAGATGATTGATTAAATCAGCAAACAGGAGCTAGGGGCATGGTTCCCATGCAGAAGAATCCCACGTGAATGGGCTCTAGCTGAGGAAGCTTTAAGCCCTGCCCCTTTCCTGCTCCTTCCCCAGAGATCTGCGAGGGGTGGAGGACTGCTCTGTTATAGAGAAGAGCTGTGCTCAGGGCCAGCTTTAGACCTAGAAGAAGCTTGCACACACTGAGGGGCTGTTTGTTCTTTATTTGCAGAGGTATTGTGGCCAGTATTTTGGTTTTCTTATGTTTTGGAGTCACACAAGCCAAAGACGGGCCATTTTCCAGACCTCATCCAGGTAACTTGCCATTTCTCCATGTGTGCCGTGTATCCCTTCTGTTCTGAGCAGCTGCTATGTTGTTCTGCTGGATGTGAATGTCCTGCCCTCTTCTGCCAGCTCCTGTGGCTGCTACCTCCATGTCAGGGAGAGCTGACTATACTTCCTTCCACCTGTCCTATTGCCCTCTCACACTCTTCCTGCAGACCAGGGTGCCCTAGGATCACAGGAGGGGCTAGAGACCTAGAGGTAGCCGATGGGTGCTATCTCCATCACCCTTTCCCAAGTTCTGACAAATCCATGCATCAGATTGTCCCCTGTGAACCTCAGCTGGAGGTCATAAGCCACCCACTTTTCTCAGTTGGCCAGAGCTCAGACTAGGAGGCACTTGAGGCTACAACTTGGTGTGACTTAAGGGCCTCAGCATATATTTAGAAACGTGTTTCTTTTCTCTCTCAATGGGATTATAACTGTTGAAATACAGAAACTATTTTTAGGCATGTAAAAAAATAAACACTTAAATGTGGATGTGTTGTGTATATTATTTATTTATTTTTGAGGGAGGGTCTCACTATTGCTCAGGCTATTCTCAGATTCCTGGATTCATGGAATTCCCTTGCCTCCCTTCCTGAATACTAGGACCACAAGTGAGTGCTACAACACTGCTGGTTTTCCTAGGTTTTGTTTGATTGTGGGTTTTTTGTTGTTTTCTATTTTGTGAGTTAGGCAGTCTTGAGATTTTGCCCACGTGTCTCCGTGTACTTAGCCTGATTGTACAACAAACCACTGTAGGAGCAGAGATAAGAGCAGAGATAAGGGATGATTAGCCCTTAAGGATGGGGCTTGTCTGCCAAGGGTAAGTTAGTTATGAGTTGTGAAGATGACTCCCCTGTGGCCCAGAAGCTCTGAGCTGGGCCCTTCAAAGATCCCAATAGGCTGTGTAATTGCTGCTAGATTACTGAGTCTTCTCGTAGCCCTTAGTAGTCCTCCACCCTCCGAGCCCTTGCCTCAGTAAGGTTTGAAGCAGAGCCACAGAAAAGCAAAATACTTAAAAAGTGCCCAATTCGTTTTAGTGGCATGTTTTCTCCTTTGATGACATGTTTAATTGTGATGTTTTCAGATGTAACTTCTGAAATAAGTCTCTGAATGACTCGAACTCTACCATACAGTGGGGAAATCAACAAAACCTATAGAATTTTATTTGGAGTTGACATTCTCTATTTTTTTAATTCTTCTTCTTATTACACACGTATATTTGATTTTTTTACTAGAAAGGAAGGATGCTCAGTTTTAGCTGTTAACGTCGTACACATTGCTTTGTTACAATAAAACTACATGTGTATAAGGAGGTGGGACTAATTGCTAAATGCTTATCTTGTATTTGGAAGAAGACTGTAAGCCCATCCAGTAAGGCATACTTCCTCATCTTGGAAGCCACATCTCAGTGAACATGACAGACAGGAGCATACTGGACACTGGAAGTGTCTCTAAGACTTGCAGGTCCAGAGGACAAGCCCTATATCCTGACAAGCACAAGTCTGAAAGGGTTTAGAGTTTTTCAGAGGCGCCCACTGACTCTGAGCTAAGTGACTGTTGCTCTGGCCCCCAGTACTTGGATGGATGTTGTTCCTCTCCCTCTTTTTTTTTTCTTTTTTGTCAGGGTCTCACTGTGTAGCTTGGCTGCCCAGAACTTACCCTGTAGACCAGTCAGGTCTTCAACTCAGATATCTGCCTGTCTCTCCCGAGTGCTGAGATTAAAGGCCTGTGTTGCCATGTTCGAGTCCTCTCCCTCTTAACATGCATGCTCACCTATGAGTTACTTGGAGAGCTCTGCTCTGCCTTTCCTTCCAGTGTAGCTGCTCTGTGTGAGCGCCAGGCTTTTTACCATTCTTATCTTACTATGTAGGGAGTCGTTCCTCTGCCGTCTCCCACCGCCCACTCACTTTTTGTTAATGTACAGAATCTGGAGCCATCAGAGCCTCCAGTCAAAAGGCTTGTGATGCAGCTAAGTGAGATATCACCAGGTATCACATGGGAGGGAGGCCTTTCTGCAGGACTGTGCCCTCGACCCTACCTCTTGGTCTGCACTTAGGAAGACCCAGTCAAGCTGCCTCAGCTGGAGCCATTATCTGCCTGGCCTCATTAGAGCAGCAAAATGAGGTTTCAGCTGACCTCCCTGGGGAGTTGCTTTATTTGGAAACTTTAATTGGCTGTGAACACCTTGAAACAGGTCCTGGTTCCTTTGAAACAGTCTCCCTCCGTGGTTCAGTTTTTTGTTTTTGTTTTGTCTGTGTGCAGTGCTAGGAGCTGCACCCTGGGCCTCATGCATGCTAGACGAGTGTGCCACCACTGAGCCGCAGCCCCAGCCCCTTTCCTGGTTCTTCTGTCTGGGGCTGTGTTCAAAGCTAGGGTTCAGATGTCATCCCCAGCACTGCTAAACAGCCTGTGTTCCTGTCTCACATTTTATATGTAGGTGGACAAAGGACCCTGGCATCCACCCACCACACCCAGAGGTCGGGGAGTTTGGGGGCGGGGTGTAGAAGCAAGGATTCAGGTAGTTCAGCTTCTGATTTGGGCTCTTCCTTGAAAACAATATGGGAAAGACGGAAACAGCACTAGCGAACAGATGATGTCCATTTCCGAGCTGATGAACCTTACTGTTGGGCTGGGCAGTGATGGCCACACCTTTAATCCCTGCACTTGGGAGACAGAGGCAGATGAATCTCTGTGAGTTTGAGGCCAGCCTGGTCTACAGAGTGATTTCCAGGATATCCAGGGCTGTTACACAGAGAAACCTTGTCTTGAAAAACTTAAAAAAAAAAAAAATGGTGTCTGCCTCTTTGAGGAGGACACCCCTCCCCGCTCATTACACAGACCCCAGTGGTATAGGTCATCTTGCCTCCCTCGACCACTGCACCTCTAGCGCCGGTGAAGATTTTCACACAGGCTCTTCCTCCACTTCGTAACCTCCATCTGTGTAACCCGGAGTAACATGAACAAATCCAGTAAGAGCATCCCACATCGTGTTTCCTATCTGGGTTGGTTATTCTCAGCCAAATAGATAGGTCACAGATCCTGAATGCCTGGCACCTCCCTGGCTCTTCAATACCATGGTGGTGTTGAGGACGGAGGGTATTTGAATATCAGAAGTCTACTGGTAAGGTTTGTGTTAAAACACCTTCCTAAATAAAGTCTAAACTTTGTACTCATTCATGATTAAAAACTAAACATATTAGAATTACAAGGTTTTCATCCCTAGAAAAAATGTCCAGCAGAACCTAGAGCAGGTCAGCAGCACATACATGCAGCAGCACATACATGCAGCAGTACATACGTGCAGCAGTACATACTGCAGCAGCACATACATGCAGCAGCACATACGTGCAGCAGCACATACAAGAGTAGGGTGTCGCCACCACCACGTCTACCCAGCGTTACAGGCCTCTGCCTCTGTAGTAAGGCAAAATAAAATAAACTCCTCAGGACTGGGATAGAGGATGCATTTCAGAGAGAAGCTTTGTGTGTAAATTTATTTAGGCCTTGTGAAAATTCTACAAAGGACACCTGAGTACCCCCAGAAAAAATATTATCTGTAATGAAGACCCGCCTGAGGCTGGGTGGAGCCTTAGAGCCCCAGAACAGAGCCCCTGACATTGCTGTTATCTTGTTGTAGCTTACTGGCGGTTTTGGCTGTGTGTTAGTGTGGTCTACGAGTTGTTTCTCATCTTCATCCTCTTCCAGGTAAGCAGTTTTTCTTGGTTGATAAAGTAGGAATGGATAATAGAGGAGGCCTTGATTGTCAGCCCCAAGTCCTGGCAAGGAATCAGGCTGGACCAGCACAGGCAGACACACAGTGTCTCACTCCAGGAGGGCCAGTGTGGAGGGGCTGTCTGAGTGTGGGTCCAGGCACAGGCTGGAGAAGGCAGCTCATCTGATTTCAGGACAGAAAATGTGTAGTCGAGCAGGTTTGCCCTGGCCTGTAGCTGAACAGCTCAGGCTTTCTGAACTTTGGCCTAGCCTGGGACCCGCAGAGCTGGTGGGGCTGGCGACTCACCAGGGGTGGAGTGGGATGCAGTGTTACATTATGTGTTCACTAATGGTTCACTCACTGAACTCTGAGCTTCATGAGTGAGTGGCCAGCTTTGTTATTGTGCTATCTGTGGCTGTTATTGGGGCCAAGTCCCTGTGCATGTATGGACATCCTAGCAAGACCAGAACAGCTTCATCTCCTGAAAACCCATTCAAAGCCCTCGATAGTCTGTTCTGTCCTACAGTTACCTGCCATCTCTCATGGTCTGTCTCAGAACAGCCCATGAGTGGAGCTAGCCAGAGCGTATCGTCCTTCTGAGGTCCACCCAGCTGTATCGTCAGCTGAGAGACACTTCAGGGTGGCAATCTGACCATTCAGCAGAGCCGAGAGGCACTTGGTTTCCTGTTTGGAGCTGCTGTGACTCACGCTATTCTCCTGTATGGACACAGATTTCCGTGTCTGTCCTCAACAGGCCGTAGTGGTCTCGCTGATCACCTCACACATGTGCCCTCAGCGGTTTGAGGAACCACCAGGCTGCCTTCCAGCATGGCTGTGCCATCTTGCACCCCACCAGCACTGACTTGCTGTTGCTTTCCCTCAGTTCTGTTGTATGAGTGCTCCGAGGTGGAGTTGCTGCTGGCGAATGGAGTTACATCCTAATGGGTATACGGTGGCATTTCTTGGTTTTGTGTTTTGTATTTTTTCTGCCACGGGTCCACTTGAAAACACCACCGCACACCTAGGTTCACATCTTCTAGGCTCCTCAGGCCGACCTTGCTTCTCGTGGGCTGACAGCTCTGCAGAGACTGGTGGGTGTATGGTTGGTCAGGTGGCAATTAGTCTTCCACACTTTGATCTTCTCTTTCAAGATTGTCCTGTGTCATCTGATCCACATTTCCAAACAAGTGATAGAATCCCTTTCTGGCTATGTAAAAGAGCCCATGAGATTTCTTTTTCTTTCTTTGCAGTGCTGGGGATGGAACCCAGGCCTCCTGCATGCTAGGCAAGCGCTCTACTACTGAGCCACACCCCAGCCCTAGCAGGTGAGATGTTGACAGGGGTTGCATTGATCAGTTTAGAATACTGCCACCCCGAAGTTAATAAGTCTTGAGATCCATGAGCATGGGGTCTTTTTCCATTATTTAGGTCCTTAATTTTTTTCCTCCTATGTTTTATAGTTTTATTGCTGTAAGTTTTGTGCTTCCTTTGTTAAACTATTCCTGAGGATTTTACTCACTTCATGCCTTCCTAAGTAGAATTGTTTCTCAGTCTTGTTTTGGACTGCTTGTTAATAGTGTGTAGAAATACAGTTTATTTTCATGTTGGTTTGTGCACTGTGACCTTGCTAAACATCAAATCCTACAAAAAGTACAGGATTTGATGTTTTCTAGTTCCTGCCATCTGCCTTTTTCCTAGGGCCCTGTCCCTTTCCTAAAGGATGGAGAATAGTCTTAAGAGACTGTAATCTTGGAGTGGGGTTTGCTGGTCAGGTGTCCTGGTACTCGGCTACAGACAGCAGCTCCATTTGTGTTGGCCATGTGTGTAACACTTGTTTGCTGTGTGGGGCTTTCTGTTTGTCACTCTTGCCTGACTCCTGTAGCTGGGCCTTCCAGAAATGTATTGAGTGCAAACATGGACCTCCTTAACTGGTTCTTGATCTTAGCGGAGTATCTACCTTTCTGTCCTGAGTGTGCTGAGAGCTCTAACTTTTCCTAGAAGCCCTCACCAAGTAAAAGCAGTTCAGTTGTAGCTGGTTGAGTGTTTGTATTATTTGATTTCAGGATATTAGATTTTCTCAAATGCGTTTTCTACATTAAGTGAGATGATTATGTGTTTTCCTTTATTGATGATGGCATTTATATTAATTTTTTAAAGATTTATTTATTTATTATTACATAAACAGTGTTCTGCCTGCTTATATGCCTGTGCACCAGAAGAGGGCACCAGATATCATAGATGGCTGTGAGCCATCATGTGGTTGTTGGGAATTGAACTCAGGACCTCTGGAAGAGCAGCCAGTGCTCTTAACCTCTGAGCCAGTTTCCTAGCCCTATGTTGATTAATTTTTAAAATGTGTTTTATTTGGGGTGTTCTGTTCTGCTTTGTTTTTGAGACAAGGTCTTGTCATATAGCCCAGGCTGGCCCAAGCTTCCAGTAGTCCTGCTTATATTTCCCAAGTGCTTTGATCACAGGCGTTTACCACCATACTTGGCATGATTTTCTTACTGGAACCTGTGGTGTGTTCCTGAGATGACCCTGTCTGTAGCGTAGACTCATCCTCCATCGTATTTTGCCTAGGATCTTTGCATCTGTATTCATGTGACACATGTCTTTGATTTCCTGGAACTGTATTTTTTTTTCTGGCTTTGTCATCATAGTTAGTTAGAATTTGTCTGATGTATTTCTCAGGATTTGAGCGGGGTTAAGGTATATGCCGTCTGCCAACAGGGCTTCTGCAGGTGAAGCTGACCTGATCGATGATAGGCAGCAGCACCAGTGTCCCTCCTTGTGGTGCCCTGTACAGCATGTTTCTACTCCCTAGAAGGAAGTTTCTGTGTGCTGTCCACGTGGGAGGAGGAGCCAGGACTTGAGCTCCGCTACCTTAGGGTGTGTGTGTGCGTGTGTGTGAACTTGAGCTCTACTACCTCGGGTGTGCATGTGTGTGTGTGTGTGTGTGTGTTATTGGGATTCCTCTTAGGAAAACCTGTCTCTTTTCCACCATATGTTAAGTATCTAATAATTTTTTGTAATCATGTGACTTTGTTTTAGGTTGTAGTCAAATACTGCTTTTAAGTTTTTACTGAAGTTCTTTAGGCCATGGGCAGCTCTCATTTGGTTTCTATCTTGTTTGACACACCCCCTTCTTTTGTGATTCTTGGTGTTTTGTTTGTTGAGGCCTTTCCTGACTCATACCATAGGATGCTCCAGTTGTGTGCACCCCTCCCTGATCCCTGGAATCGGCCCTTTCCCTGGAGCCCTGTTCCTTTCCTGGAGGATGGAGGACAGTCTTAAGAGAGTGCAATCTGGGAACTAGGTTTGCTGGTCACACGCCCAGTTCTTGGCCGCAGACAGCAGCTCCATTTGTGTAACACATTACTGTGATCACATCAGTTTTAGTATTCTATCTTGAAGGTCCTTCTGCAGCCTGGCTACTTCCTGCCCATCCTACCCTCTAAAAGAGTGCCATGGGGTCATAGGGTTTTTGCATGTTGATCAGGGGCAGCAGGTATTTTGCAGGTGTTTTGAACCTAGAAACAGGTACCCCTTGATTCTGAACTTCTGCCAAGCCCAGAACTCACCTTTTCTGACTTTGTTTGAGGCCTCAGGGCCTACGCTAGAAGGTGGTTTCAGGAACATTCCTGCCTCAGCATGTCCTCAAGTCTTGCTAGTTTCCAGGGCACACGACATTAGCAAGGTGGCCACCTGTGAAGTCTCTGCACCAGGGACAGGTGAACTCAGACTTTGAGATCAGGGGCTAGACTGTCAGCTGGCCATTCTGTTCCCGTTTTCTCTCCTGTCTGTGGTGTGCTTTCACTTCTGTCTCCTCTGCTGGCCTCCCCTTTGTCCAAGCTGGTGGTTTGCTCCAGGACCCCTCCTCTTTTGTGTCCAGAAGTGCTTCCTTCACCGAGGGGACAGAACTCTTACCAACTGCTGCAGGTCCAAAGATGGGGTTGTGTCTGACAGAGTGGCCTGGGCATGGCCTGGACTGAGGAAAGGCAGCAGTGCAGGGCTGTCTCTTCTGGGTAGGGATCTAGTCCTGTATCCGCTGGAGACAGTGTTGTAGGGCTGGCATTTGTGCCTTGATGGCTCCCCGGGACTCGAGGTGCTCTAGCTGGAGTGGAAGGGCTGCTGTCCCTCTGACATGCTGACCAAGATAGAGGTCACGTCAGACTCCTCCATCCAGGCTGCCCTGCTAAGCCTGACCACACTAATGACTCTGCTTTGCAGACAGTCCATGATGGCCGGCAGTTTCTGAAGTATGTGGATCCCAGGCTGGGAGTTCCATTGCCAGAGAGGGACTACGGGGGCAACTGCCTCATCTATGATGCTGACAACAAGACTGACCCCTTCCACAACATCTGGGTAGGGGTGTTCCCCTCAACTGCAGGGCTTCAGTAGCCCCAGGACTGTTCTTTACTGTATGGGGTCAGGCAGGGTACCCTGCAAGACTGTCCACCTTCCTGCTTTTCCTCAGGCTCCTTCGGGGTACTGTGGTGTGACTCTGCACATGGGGTACAGGCCCGTGGGCCTGCTCATGTTAGATGAGGATCCACAGAGAGGCATCCTGCTCTCTGTTACCAGTGTGGTCATCTAAAGGTGTCCACACACCAACATCCTTGCCAGACCCTGACTTGGCATCACCAGCCCGGATGCTTGGGCGAGGGAGGGGAAGGGAATGACCCTGGGCCTTTGCACAGCTTGAAGTTGTGCAGTCTCTGGAAACTTGCCCAAGATACCATAGGGGAGGAGACTGCCTGAGGGAGGGACTGCCTGAGGTGGGCGCTGGGCCTAAGGGTCGCATTCTTGTTACCTACAGGACAAGCTGGATGGCTTTGTCCCTGCACACTTCATTGGCTGGTATCTGAAGGTAGGGAGATCTAGCTGGCCTGACACCCTGCTTCTCTCTATTCCCCCTTCCTCCATGTTCCAGGCCATTTGGGGCCACAGTAGACCTGAGTGGTAGGTGGGCGCGCCCTGGTGAGGAGGCACAGCTGTCCTGGAGAATATGTGCAATCCCAGAAGCGTCACGGTTTCTCAGCAGGATTCGGGTGCTAGTGTTGGCCCTGCTGCTCCGATCTGTGCCCTGTCCCAGCACTGTGGCCAGTTAGGAAAAGGGAATGAGGAAAATGGCAAGGCAGAAAGCCCAGGTCAGCCTGGGTTCCTGGTGTACCCCGTGATAGTGCTGCCTGTCAGCCACAGCACACAGCCTGAATCAGGCCTTCTGTCAGAGCTCAGTGCCAAACTTCTGGGTCCCTCCTTTTTGACTGGCAATCTTAATGTTAGAAAGGCGGCTGCCCATCTAGTGCACATACCAGGGACCTACTGGGCTGGGAGCTGGAGGCAGGAGGCTGGGATTGTTTTTTTGAAGGGCACAGTCTGTAGGGAATGGATGGCAAAGCCTGATGGGGTGCTCTCTGGCACCTCACAGACCCTCATGATCCGTGACTGGTGGATGTGTATGATCATCAGCGTGATGTTCGAGTTCCTGGAGTACAGCCTGGAGCACCAGCTGCCCAACTTCAGCGAATGCTGGTGGGACCATGTAGGTGCAGCGGGCAAGGCGCCGCCGGGGTGGGCCTGGTCCTGTCGTCGCAGGTCCCGTGGCTAACACCTCTCCTTTCCTGACCCAGTGGATCATGGACGTCCTCATCTGCAACGGGCTGGGCATCTACTGTGGCATGAAGACCCTCGAGTGGCTGTCCTTGAAGACATATAAGTGGCAGGGCCTCTGGAACATTCCAACCTACAAGTACATCTTGGGAGTTGTAGAGGGAACCACAGGCATTGGGTCCCCAAGCACAAGGCCTTGCTGCTCAGGAGGGTGGCAAGCAAGATGGGCCTTTGTCCTTCAGACCTTAGAGTGGTAGAGTCAACGCCTATCTGACTCCTCCATGTAGCCCCCTCGCCTGCTTCTCAAGAGGCTGTGGGCCTGTTTGGTCTACGTTTCATACAGTGCAGGTTAGCCTCAAACGTGCTGTGTCATCTAGGGTGACTCTTGCCCCCACCTTCCAGCTCTGGGAGCACTAGTGTGTAACCCTATACCCAGTTTCTCTGCTAAGAAAAAAATGATACCAGAAGTGGTGGTATACACCCACAGAATCCATGGCTGCTGAAGCTGATGCAGGAGAGTTCTTTGAGCACAGAGGTTTAAGGCTAGTCTAGGTGATTCAGTTTTGAGACTCTCAAAACCAAGAAAAAGTGGGGGCTGAGGATGTAACTCGGCTCAGTAGAGTACTAGCCTCCCATTTTCGAAGCCCCTGGTTCAATTCCTGAAACCACATGAACCAAATGTGCTGTGATCCCAGCACTTGGGCAGTAAAGGCAGAGCAGGAGTTCACAGTCATCCATAGGTATATAGTAAGTTTGAGGCTAGCTAGCCTTAGCTACATGAAACCTAGTTTTGAAGAATAAAAATTAGCCAGGCCCAGTGGCACACACCTTTAGTCCCAGGAAGCCAGCCTAGTCTACATAGTAAGACCTTGTCTCAGCAACAAAGGCAAGGTGGTGCACACCTTTAGCCCAGCACTTGGGGGGCAGAGGCAGGTAGCAAGTTCCAGGACAGCCAGAGCTACACAATAGAGACCCTGTCACACAAAGAAAAGAAAAGGAAAGAAAAGAAAAGGGCTGGCAGAACTGGGCAAGATAGGTCCAGCCCTGGAGAGGTAGGGGACAAGAGGATCGCCCTGGTCCCTGGTACCACAAAAACAAAACCTGAGACAATAAGGAATGAGGTTCCCCTCCTGTCCCGGTGCCTCGGGCATGTGAATAGGCCCCTCTGAGTGGCTGTGTGTGACTGTGAACAGGACAGAGCCTTGTGTCTGCTGAGGAGGGCAGTAAACACTGGCTCACAGGTTCTCTGGCCTAGCCATTGCCCTCAGGCTCCTGGCTTTCTGGTTCCCAGGGGCAAGATGAAGAGGATTGCCTTTCAGTTCACGCCCTACAGCTGGGTACGCTTTGAGTGGAAGCCCGCCTCCAGCCTGCACCGCTGGCTGGCCGTGTGTGGTATCATCTTGGTGGTAAGTCCCAGCAGCCTGGTGACTGTGTATCCACACACCACCATTGGTTAGTTCTCAAACTGACGAACTGACCTTCTCCCATCCCCTAGTTCCTGCTGGCAGAACTGAACACATTCTACTTGAAGTTTGTGCTATGGATGCCCCCTGAACACTACCTGGTCCTCCTGCGGCTGGTCTTCTTCGTGAACGTGGGTGGTGTGGCCATGCGTGAGATCTATGACTTCATGGATGAACTGTGAGGGCCGTCCATAAGGCCTAGGGGGTGGGAGGCCAGAGCCTGGGAGCCCCAAGGGCGTTTGGGGTTCTGAGCAAGCAAGGCAGCTGCTGCCTCTCTGCAGGAAGCCCCACAGGAAGCTGGGCCAGCAGGCCTGGCTGGTGGCAGCCATCACAGTCACAGAGCTGCTCATCGTGGTGAAGTATGACCCGCACACACTCACCCTGTCACTGCCCTTCTACATCTCCCAGTGCTGGACTCTTGGCTCCATCCTGGTGCTTACGTGGACTGTCTGGCGCTTCTTCCTGCGGTGAGTGGGGATGGGACCCCAAGCCATCAGGTTTTACTGTGAGTGATGTCTGTCCCCCTTTGGTTGAATCCAGACAGGGCTCCGTCCATTCCCCACCCTTGTCTTGTGGCTCTACCTGCCTTTGCCCCTGTCCTCTCTCTGAGTCGCTGTGACTCTGCCTTGCCTGTAGCTAGCACTCCAGCTTACCCTCCCCCCAGCCATTCCTACAACTGTAGCAGGTGGAGCCTCTTGCAGAGCAAAGGTGTCCAGGTGTCTATGGGTATGTGCTGGGGGCTGCTGCATGGGTATGTGGTGAGGTGGCTCTGCTGCCCCACAGGGACATCACCATGAGATACAAGGAGACCCGGCGACAGAAGCAGCAGAGTCACCAGGGCAGAGCCATCAACAATGGGGATGGGCACCCAGGGCCAGATGATGACCTGCTAGGGACTGGGACTACAGAGGAAGAGGGGACCACCAGTGACAGTGTACCTGCTGAGGAGGGGGCCTCAGCCGCCTCATGATCCTCTCCGTCTTCACTGGCCTTGTGCCATAGGGCTGTCCCATTTCTCCCATCCTTATGCTCCCTGCTTCAGAGGAGGGGGGCCCATCCCCACTCCACCAGGGGCACCTGAGTATACATGTTTATGTGCAGGTAGGTGTGTGCACATATTGGCTCCTGACACTTCTCCAGGGCTGTGAGCTGACCAGTGAGCCTAGAGCACGCTCTAGAGCAAGGGTCCTGCCTGTCCTACCTGGTCAGCGAAGGCCCTGACCCATGATCTCCCTCGTGCTCAGTCTCACCACAAACCAGAAGAGGCATCTTGTACTCTTTCTCTACCCTCTGTGGGGTAGGCAGAAGCCCCATGAGACCCTGTGGCCCCACCCAACTTGAAGCAGCAGAAGTGAAGGCTGTGACAACACTAAGATGGCTGCAAAGTGGTAGATCTGGAGTCAGCACTGAGACATTGTCTTTGGAGCCTTCGTTTAAGCAGGACTCTAAGATGGATGGTATGTCCATGGAGGAAGGTCATCAGATTGGCCCCTTGAGGGGTATCAAGTCAGAGAATCCAACTTGGAGACCTGTACCCCAGGTGCTAGGGTTGTGTTGTCACCATGGCTCCCTGAGTCTAGTTGCACTCGTGAGCAAACAGAACAAATAAAGCGATGGCGAAGGTGCAGAGCCTCCGGCTGCCTTCTCTGCCCCGTGAGAAGGGACTGCTACATCCATTTGGAGTCGAGTGTGTGTGCAGAACTTAGTTCTCACAGGGCTTCAAGGGCCATGGGATACAACTCTCCAGGGACAGGCATAGCTGCTCACAGGACACATGTCCTGGGCAGCTACCCCTGACTCCCACATTGTCTCACTGGGGGTGGGGCAGTGATCACTGAGGATCATGGGAAATGATTATAAACTTTACAGCTGCAGCCATCAGGAATGCAAAGACAAACCACCTGTCTCTGACAAGTCCAGTTGTCCCACACATGCAGATGTACAAGTCTTGTCTCAATCTTCTCAGGCAACATGTTTCTTGGGATTTTTGAGACCAGGTTTTGCTGCATAGTTTAGACTGCCATAGAACTCCATATATGTCCCAGGCTAGCCTCAAATTCTTGCCAGTCCTCCTGCTTCAGACTCCCAGAATTAAAGGTTTGTGCCTCTATGCCTGACTAAAAATTTCTTTTAAAAAATATTTACTTATTCTTATTTTTAATTACGTTTGTGGGTAAAATTATACAGGAGGCCAGAAGAGGGCATCCCCAGGAACTGGAGTTAGAGGTGGTTGTTAGTTCCCATCCCTGCAGCCCCACTTTCTTGCTGCTAGGAGCCCTGCTAGAGTGATGAAGGTGGTACAGATATCCCTGACAAACTGACTGAGTTTGTTTTGTATGTGTATCTAATAGAACAATTGTTGAGTCATCCCATAGCTCCATCTTTTTTTTTTTAGAGATTTATTTATTAAGCATACAATGTACTGCTGGCAGGAAGGCACCAGATCTCACTACAGATGGTTATGAGCCACCATATGGTTGCTGGGAATTGAACTTGGGACCTCTGGAACAGCAGCCAGTGCTCTTACCCTCTGAGCCATCGCTCCAGCACCCCCCCACCTCAATAACTCCATCTTTAACTTTTTTGTTTTGTTTTGTCTTTTTGAGGCAGGGTTTCTCTGTGTAGCCCTGACTGTCCTGAAACTTGCTCTGTGGACCAGGCTGGCCTCAAATTCAGAGATCTGTCTACCTCTGACTCCCAAGTGTTGGGATTAAAGGTGTGCGCCACTACTGCTCGGCAAAATTTTTTAGAGATTTACTTTATAAGTATGAGGAGCGTTTTGTCTGCATATATGTATGTGTGCATCACAGAAGTGCCTGAGTCCAGAAGATGGCATTGGATCCCTTGGAACTGTAGTTAAGAAATTGTGAAGGGCCAGCATAGGAGTGCTGGGAACTAACCCTAGATCCTCTCGAGAGCAACAAGTGCTCTTAATCTCAGAGCCATCTCTGCAGCACCATGCCTTGTCTCTCATTGCCATAACAGCTGCTTTCAACAAGGTAAGGGGACATCTTACTGGTTGGTTGTGTGTGTGTTTGCTTTTTGGTTTAGTTTTGGTTTGGTTGAGACAGGGTTTCTCTGTAGCCCTGGCTGTCCTAGAACTCACTCTGTAGACCAGGCTGACCTGGAACTCAAGAGATCCCACCTGCCTCTGCCTCCCAAGTGTTGGAATTAAAGGTATGAGCCACCACTGCCAGGCATCTTACTGGTTTTGATTTGCATTTTCCACTTGACCAATTATAATGACATTTTTCCTTCCGGGTTTTTTTAAAGTTATGTCTGCTTAGATGTACTGCTCATTCTTAATCAGGTTATTTTTAAATTCTGATTAAAATGGCAAAAATTAGTGGACATGGTGGTTCATGCCTATGATCCTAGCACTCCAAGCAATTTAGGCAGAACTGCTATAACTTCAGGGCCAGCCTGGGTTACAGTGGGAGACTGGGTTACTGCTTCTTAATTGATATTCTTTATGTTAGTCCTTGGGTTGCAGTTGGTACGCATTTGCCACTGGTGCACACACACAAGTAAATATAATTTTAGCTGGGCATGGCAGCACGTTCAGGGTGCAGAAGGGGGTTGATCTCTTCAGAGGCCAACCAGGGAAAACATAAAGAGCCTATCTTTAAAAATAATAGTAATAATTTGGGGGTTGGAGAAATGAGTGAACAGTTACGAGCATTTGCTCTTGCGGAGTACCCAGGTCCAGTCCCAGCACCCACGTGGTTAGAACTCAGTTCCAGAGTACCACTTTCTTCTAGCTTCCGTAGGCATGCACATGGTGCAGACATACGTACTGGAAAACATCCATACACATAAAAATAAGTTTGCCACATGGAGACACACACTTTTAATCCCTGCACTTGGGAGGCAAAAGCACACAGATCTCTGTAAATTCAAGGCCAGCCTGTTCTATTTAGCAAGTTTGAAGTCAGCTAATACGTAGTGAAAACCTTTTTTAAAAAAAAAAAATAAATAAAGTAAAAATAATTTTTAAGTAATTTATTTGTATTTTATGTACATTGGTGTTTTGCTTGCATGTATGTCTGTGTGATGGTGTTGGAGCCCCTGGAACAGAAGTTACAGCTGTGAGCTGCCATATGGGTGCTGAAAATTGAACCCAGATCATCTGAAAGAACAGCCAGTGCTCCTTACCACGGAGCTATCTCTCCAGCCCCAATAAAAGTAAATTTTAGTGGGGTTGTGGTGCACACCTTTAATCTTAGTACTCACAAGGCACAGGCAGGAGTCTAGAAAAACCCTGTCTAGAAAAAAGAAACAGAAAAGAAAAAAATTTAAAAGTATAATTTTAAAAATAAGTCAGGAAGCTAGGTATGCTAGTGCACACTTTTAATCCCAGTATTGGGAAGGCAGAGGCAAGCAAATATCTGGGAGTGCGAGGCCAGCCTGGTCTATATAACAAGTTCAGGTAAGCCAAAGCTACGATATAAGACCCTGTCTCAAAAATCCTTCAGAGATGGCTCAGTGGTTCAGAGCAGTAGCTGCTCCTGCAGAGGACCTGGGTTTGGGTCTCGGCATCCACTGGCGGTTTACTGCTATCACTAATGCTACATAAATACAAATCTTACAAATAGCCGGATGCTGCTGATGCTCAGGAGGCAGAGGCAGGCAGATCTCTTGAGTTCTAGGACACAGAAACCCTGTCACTAAATAAGTAAGTCCCTAGCTTTTATATTTGCCACATCACATAGCCAGTCTTTTCTCTAGAATTTGACCAGCCACCCTTTTCTCATAAGCACGTTTAGTCATGAAAATTATTGGCAATTTAACATTGAAGATTTACCTTTTATAATTTGGAGATTTTAGATTTCAGAGATTTTGATCTCTTGGGATTTGTTTTCAACCCTTTTTGTGCAAGAAGAGCTCCACCACTGAGTCTTACCCAGTCTCTGGGATTTCAGGTATGGGAAATGAATCTTCCTAAGTCATGCTTGACCACTGCAAGCAGAGATCATCCTCACTTATACTACTCAGTGTAGGCAGGGAGAAGATCCAGCTTTGAAAGTCCCTTTAAGACCTGCCTTGGAGCAAAGTATAATGGCGTACATCTGGAATCTCTTTTACAATGCCTGTAGTCCCAACACAGAGACAGTAGAGTGTGCCCAAGGTTCAAGGCTGTCCAAGTTTTTTTTAAGAAAGGCCATATTGGAGATTAAGGGCCCACTGCTGAGGTGAGCACATGAATAAACTACCCCACACACAGGAAGTAGTTATAGCACAGCTACACCGGCTCACAAAGAATGATAAGCACCTTCCTTGTCAACAAAGTGTTTTAATAGTTATAAAGTGTCTAAAGTTTTCTGCTAAAATAAGATTACAATGCTAGAACACCCAGAGCCAGAGTTCCTGCTGGCCGGCCCTGGGGCTGGGTTAACGTTGTGTCCAGAGACATGCACATCTCAGGAGATGATCTTCAAGGATGGCCTTTCCTCCTCCAGGGCCCGCAGCTGGTCTTCCACCTCCTCCGTCCAGTAAATGTCATACAGGCTGTGCACAGGCAAGGCAGGAGTGAGTTGGAATGAATCCCTGAGCCCAGGCAGCCCGTGTCCCACCACCTTCACCAAGAACATCCACTTACACTAGCTGCTGAAGGGTACAGCTGGGCTGTTTGAGGCTTTCCATCAGTTGCAGGACACCCAAGTCCCCCATGCAGTTGTTACTGAGGTCCAGCTCCTGCAGGCTGCGGTTAGCCAGCAGAACTGCGGCAAGGCTGCTGCAGGCATTGTCTGTCACATCGCAGTCCCCCAGCCTGGGTAGAGAGGGCAGAGTTGTTCCACTTTGGCAGGAAGGCAACCCCTTGGTGTTTCAACTGCAGCTACACTTCCCTCAGCTGGATACAACAGTGAGAACCCTAGCTCCCCCTGGCAGGGGCAGTGTGCACCGCTGCAGAGGCCAAGAGCCTGGCTAGATCAGAACCCTGTACATCAGGTGCCTATAGAAAGTGACAGGGCAGATAGGTTCCAGATGGGGGAAGATTGGGGTACAGGCCACAGGAAGAACAAGTGAGCAGGGCCACTACTCATGCCCATCAGATGGGACCTAGGGAAGCCAGAGGGACAAGTAGGGCAGGTGACATTAAGAAGCTGCTATGGCTTGCCTCCCCAAGGTGGGCCTGAAATCTACAGGACCCATCTGTAAGTGACTGTAGCAGGCCCCATGTCTCCTGACCTTTCCCTTAGACTACAGAGTGTCCTATAACTGTGGCACACGTATAGTGTCCTGTTCCACCCTTCAAAATGTCCAAAAATGACCAGCAGTCAAGATGCAGCACCACAGAGGGCAAGGCTGAGATAAATAGTAAATGAGACTCTGAACTGGCCAGACAATGGGAAATGTCTAGAAATGATAACAAAAACTTGAGGAAGAAAATGAGGACAGGAACTGAATTGCCCTTAAAACTCAAGTGCTGACTCCTGGGCACTGCAGAGAAGGAAAAAGGAAAAAGATGAGGAAAGCACACGACTTCTCGGGACCAAGACCCACATAAAGGCAAATCAGTAGCCCAGAGCACAATGGGTAGAAAATTTCAGAAGCTGCCAAAGAGCTGAGCCTACTTGCTACTAAGTTTAACAACCTGAGTTCCATACTTGGAACCCCATGGTAGAAGA